ATAAGAGAAGTCAATAGACTTGTTGTATATTATAATGAGAACCAAAACCCTGTATTTATAGGGAAGGAATAGGAATACATATGGTAATTATATCTAGGGTTACAGTGGTACAAGTGTCATTCACACTAAACTCTAATTTAGCCCCTCTTTGAGCCACATTAAAAATTTCATTCTCATTCTTCTACTATTTTTAACCACATGTTATTCAATAAAATAATATTTTCCATCACATCAATAATTTTTCCTTCTTTTTCAACCACACGTTCTCCGTCAATCTATTATTCCAAAATACATTCTTTCAAAATAATGTGTCTCAAACACACCCTTACTTTCTTTTTACTACACTTTTAATTGCATTTCAACATTGTTATTTGTTTTGCTTATTTAAAAATACAATGAACAAATGAGTTCTCTCTCTCTCTCTTAATGAGAAGTCATAATCATGAACGATTTATGTTAATTTGAGAATAAAAATGCTATGAAAAAAAAAAAAAAAATTTGATACACAAATGTGATAATGTGTAAAAATTATTAACATTTTACGCAATTAAAATATAATCTAGTTATGTTGTATAACCGTATACATATATTAAGCCTTATATTTATCATTTTAAGCAAATTGCTATTATGACATGTTTGAATCGGTTAATTTTTTTTCTTGCTCATTCGTAAAAAGTCAATTATTTTGATAGTAAAATCAAGATTATTCTCAAAATTAGTAGACTAAACTTACATCAATTTTAACGAACAAAAAATATTATTTTATGACTTATTTACTTGTAATAAACTTGCATGCAAGTACATTTCTAGCCAAGACCACACACAAGTTTGGCTAAGCTTAAAATTTTTACCTGCAAGTGAATTAGCATCTAGCTGCCACAATCAAAATAACGGTGTACAATTCATACTTGTTTTTAACTCCGTATTCAGTTTTGTTTAATGTAAATACAAATAGTTAACCACGAATCTTTACACTGCTACTGAGTTTCAATTTCATTTTCGTTCCCCTCTCCCCACGCCACGTCCTCCCTTCAATCTTACCAGCAGAACGTCAGTCTGCTCGGTGGCTGTTACCGGTACTGGCAGATGCATTTTTCCCACCGTATTTCTGTCATAAAACAAAGAAAAATTTGTAACCAATAAGAAACCCCAAAAGCAGTTTAACAAGACAAGCTGCCTCAACTACTACAGCACTCGCCATTTGTAGGAACAACACTGTTTATATAAGATATGGCGCATATTTCTTGGGCTCACCTGCTTTCCAAGATTGAGTGGGATATATTTGTATTTGACCATATGCATGATTTGGCGCTTCATCGTAAGTGCAAAAAGAACAATCCAGTAGCACAACAATATGGGCCAAAAGACGGGAACATCGAACATGGAAAAGAAGGTCATCAAAAATGCTACACAGAAAGCCTTTGTGATGGCATACCTGGAACCACATAAACAAGAAACATAATTACAATAATGTTTCTTAATTTGTTGGCGACGGTATCTGTGGGCTTTCGTGAATGTGTCTATACATACAAGAAGCATGGTGTATGGAAATATTGACATGATAAGAGAGAGAGCAATACTGCAAGTTTTGCCATTTTAAAGCACCAAAAAGCAATTAAACCAAAGATTTAATTGGTGGAAACTAATAACTAGTGCATTTACCGGTTTACACCAAAAATAGTCAAAGCAAAGGAGCTCATAATTTTAACCAAACAAATCAGAAATGCTAAGGGCTCATAATTTTAACCAAACAACGTGTGCCATCAGAGTGGCGTTAAACATCAACCCAAATATTTAGCTCCCTAACCAATCCTAAAACACAGTAAAGTAAAATAATAATAGCAGTAAAACAAAGACCACATCAGCCATGTTCTTTTTGACAAGCAAAAAATACAGTCTGTCACGTAAACATGAAAGGTATTAAGTGATAAGAATGATAGGCGTACGAGGAAAGGCTTAGACAACTCAGGATGGCAAAATTTTAAATACTAATATGGGATAGAGATGAAAAAAAAAAAGAAGAAGAAGAAGAAGCTGATATCGAATATTTGACCATCAAGAAAATAGATACTGAGACAATTTGCCACATTGCAGAACTTGCAATTAACAGGATTTGACCCTGCTAGGCTGCTACAGTGATATCATAAGAGCATAGCAATGGCATTTGATATCCTTGTAGAAGACAAGCCCTTAATGAAAAGGTTTAGGGACTATTCAAAATCTTTTCTTATTACAATGTTCATTTTTAAGTATCAACCGACAATGCAAAATACACACAGGGTACTGAACACGTAGCATCTCATTGCTTATTACAATGTTCATTTTTAAGTGTCAATCACAATGCAAAATATGCATAGGGTACTGAACACACAGCACCCCATTCAATCTGAATTAGTCTTTCTTTATTTCCAAAAAAGATAATAACTTCAAAAACAGTAGACTGGCAACCACTGCTTTAATGTGCAAGGAGTGCAAGCTGCAGTCTTATCAATATTTCCAAGGTTGAAGAGTTGAAATTTTGTGTAGAATTTTAAGAAGCTTTGCCACAAATATGCAAAATTATATATTATGCACATACCATAAATTTAAGCATCAAATCATCATGCACCTGACCTGATACATGAAATCAAGGATTGTACTATATTTAACAGAAGACAAAAACCTACGCAAGCAAAAAACATAGGTATGCAAGTTGATAAAGGAAGGAAACTCTTTATCAAAAGTAAGTTAAAAGAAAACCATTAAGAATGTGGATCATTCAAGAATCGAAGTCCCATCAGACCATAAATATCCTTCAGCAATCATGAAGTCATCAAAACGTAACAGTTCCAATATTCTATTAAAAATTTCCAACCATCACATATGTTACAAGGATGCAGTCCAATTAAGATCAGATAGATTGATTTCTCATGCCATATCTCTCGTCATACTCATCGTATTTCAGTTATCAAAGCAGGAAACTTTAACTAAAAGTGACTAAAGTAATCAGAAATGCAATCACAGTTCTCTACAACTTCCAGTATACCTGTACCTAGGGAAGCCAATAACCATTCTCCCAATATGCCTTATCTGGCATACTCATCATATTTCAGTTACCAAAGCAGGAAACTGTAACTAGAAGTGACTCTTGTATTCGGAAATTCAATCTCACCTCTCTATAACTTCCTATATACCTGTACCTAGGGAAGCCAATAAGCATTCTCTCGTTAACCAAAATAAAATGAGAAATAGCAGAGCAACAGTTACAAGCAGGAGGAACCAAACAAGAAACATTGGTAAAAATCAATAAACTTGAAGCAACAGAGTGTTCCGCAACTGATCAGGACATTAAAATCAAAACAGTCGAGGAATCCAAACTCGCAATGGCAAGATAACGAGCATCAGTTTCAAGAATTTTAAAAATAATACCAGAATTTGAACTCCGGAAGGCGACGAATGAAAGGCTTGAATTCATCCGAATCCTTTGTTGGCAGCATAGGTCCATCGGAAGGTTCCAGCTCGGGGTCAACAAGAGGCGACAGAAACCCAATGAGCAAATTCAGAATATAAATCCCCAAACCATAAGAAACAATGTAGAACCCTTGAACATAGTAAACCCGCAGAGCATAAACAAATACTAAAACAAAGGTTCCAATCCATCGGTAGAGAGCGTGTGGGGTGGATTTATCTAGATAATGCTGGAAAAGCTTTGATGCTTCATGTCTCCGCTGGTTCATTGCCGCTGCTGCAGTTGAGGCACCATCATCTCCAACACCTTCCATGAAAAATCAACTTAAGAATCCTACAAATTGGACAAAATAGTTGGTTCAGGAGAAATGTCTATTAACGAAAGGACCGAAATGAACTCACGAAAGATACACTATCACATGCTTCATCAGGCAGCCAGAAAAAATCCAGATAGAGAAGGTAAAGGTGTAGGGGAATATGGAATAGTTTCTTCTTTCAACAAGTAGGCATTGGGGAAAATCACAAAGAAAAATTTAATTTTCTTATCTCCCCTCTAAAAACCCCCATAAAGTAGTACTATACACATCGACCCAGGAAGTAAAAAAGGAAGGGAAACTTTGAATCCATTCGTTCAGGTTGTAGAAAACATATTCCTTGCAAATGCCAAAATTTTCGCCCCATTTCAAATCTAAGTTTAAATAGCTTGCAACACACCTCAAAAATCCACTGGCCAGTGCAATAAAATCTATCAACTCAAAACCTATAGGGTATAGCTTAGCACATGCTCAATAAAACTCATAGTTAATCAACACTTCTCATCACCGAGGAAAATGCAGCAGATTAAACAAAAGAAAACTTAAGTTCAAGATAAACATCGCATCAAACAAAAGTTTTTGACTATAAAGTTCAACTCTTCTCCTCTGCTTGGTTTCTAATCAACAACCAATAATACTTAATATACGTCTGAAATATTCCTTTAACCATTTTTTCTTAAAAATAAATACAAAAAGACGGCTATATCTCTAATTAAAAACAAAAAAACCCTAACATAAAAATAAACCGACAATCATAAACAGATCTTAGAATGTCCGATCCTCATGTTAAAACCTACAGTCTTCAGTAAACATATACATATTGGCGCATTTCGAATGAGAAATCTCAAAAATCTAATAGAAAAAATGTTAGGTAATTAGGTTTTACCTCCGGCGAGAACCCAACAGGTAAGGAAAATGATTTTCCGGGGGTTTGAGGCGAAACTCTGTTAGCACCGATTCGGGTTGAAATCTATGCGGAATTCGAGTAAAATTATAGTTCGATTAATTGCATATAGTTTTCAATGTCAATATAGCCGATCTTCCAAATCACTCCTTTTACTCGTACCGGGAAAGGGTCTGTCTGGCTCTAATTTTCAGAAAATTGCATTCCTGGTATCTCATATATGGTTAAGATAGCAAGTTTGGCTTCAATCTTTAAGAAAGAACAAACTGATCTTAACTTCTCATTTGAATTGTATTTTTT